AAAAAAAAAAAAAAAAAAAAAACTAACAAAGCAAAAAATTCTATTTATGAAAAGAAAGCCATCCTACATTAATCTTACTTTTCCAGTCACTGGCCCATCTCCTTCCTCTTTTTTCTAATCACGCTGTTAAAACTGTTCTACCTACTTCCTGACCTCCAACCTACCAACAAGCTACTCTTCAATGGCTCGGGCAGATTCTAGTGGCTGGCAGTAACAGCGCTAAAGATAAACTCCATCTCTTCCCTCCTTTGGTTAGGGTCACTATTCTATACAATAAAATGTTGACTATTATAAACTTTCCCAAGACTAAAGCTGAAATTAACATAGGAACTGCTTCACCCCCAGACTCACTTTCACCTTACTGTTCTTACTTCTTTACAGTGAAGCATCCCAAAATTCTATCGTTGATAGTTCTCCTTCCTCCTTGGATATTCCTACCTGTATTTTCAAGCATCTTGTGCAGCTTCATATGCTTGTAGGTGGATATTATCTGAAAATTCACAACACTTGGAATATTCAATCCTTGGTCCTGCAGCAGCTTCAAGGATGCGGCATGGATAAGCTGATGGGACCTTTTGCAGGTCTGAAGTTTACACTCTCCCTTCACAAAGGATTTGCATACGTGAAACTTGTTGCATTTATCCTTGAGGTTGCAGTAGCCATAAAGGGCTTCCCCTTTGTTGTAGAGCAAACAGACCTGGTACAGAAATGAGGCAACATCTGAAATATTAGTTTTCTTTTTTGTTGTTGTTGTTGGGGGTTGGGGGGAGATGGAGTCTCTCTCTGACGCCCAGGCTGGAGTGCAGTGGCACAATCTTGGCTCACTGCATCCTGCAGCTCCTGGTTCAGGCGATTCTCCTGCCTCAGCCTCTTGAGTAGCTGGGACTACAGGCGTTCACCACCACACCCAGCTAATTTTTGTATTTTCAGTAGAGATGAGGTTTAGCCATGTTGGCCAAGCTGGTCTCGAACTCCTGACTTCAGGTGACCTGCCCACCTCAGCCTTCCAAAGTGCTGGGATTACAGGTATGAGCCACCACACCCAGGCAATATTAGTTTTCACTTTATCTTTTAAGCCAATAGACTATAGCTTCTCTAGCTAAAGTGAAGACTAAATGACATCTTCTGATCACCAGTGGCTGTTAAAATCTTTGGGTGAAAGCCTGATGATAGTGTAGTGGTACTAGCCACACTCCAGGTGCTGTAGGCGCTGGGTGCTCATGACTCACAGCTGCCCCTCTCTTACCTTGCACTCTCAACTAACCTACTCCCTGCCTCCAAAGCCTGTAGCCAATGAATGACTTAGATGGAGCTAAAAAAAAAAATGCTGGAGTGCCTCAAAGCCAGACTCAGTGTGATGTTAATTCCACAGTTCCCCTTGAATCAAGTCAGGGCCAGACCTTACTTGCTTGTAGCTTTTCCTTCCTTAGATCCTGCTTCTCTCACTCCCATACTGGGTTTTCCTGAAAAGCTGGCCCCCCAAAAAATCACATGGACCTGGGTCCCTATCTCAGGCTCTGCTTCCAGGGAAACCAATTTCAAGGGGTGGCACAAAGATATAATTTATGATCCAGATAAGGGCTTTTTTGGGTGCAAGGAAGCACTATTAATAATCGCACTGGGACAACTAATATAAACTGGGTCTATCCCAGACAAACCAAGACCATGCTGATGGGGAACTTCATAATGATGGATCATGATGGCTGTTGACCCTGAAACCACACACCAGTCTTAACCTCACACATGAAGATGACATTATATTGACATTATATGCCTCCTGATGTGACACAACAGGAAATAGAACTGTCCAGGTTTTGCCATGAAAGTCTGACATCCCGGAAACTCCTTAGCCCCAGGCAAATGGGATGGTGAGTCACCATTAACAATGCTTCACATGTAAAAAAATTCTTGGTATAAAATAAATCCTGGCTGAGCATGGTGGCTCACACTTGTAATCCCAGCACTTTGGGAGGCCAAGGCAGGAGGATCACCTGAGGTTAGGAGTTCAAGAGCAGCCTGGCCAACATGGTGAAACGCCGTTTCTACTAAAAACACAAAAATTAGCCAGGAGCAGTGGTGCGCACCTGTAATCGCCACCACTGGGGAGGCTGAGGCAGGAGAATCACTTGAACTCCGGAGGTGAGGGTTGCAGTGAGCCAAGATCGCGCCACTGCACTCCAGCCTGGGCAATACAGCGAGACTCCGTCTTAAAAATAAAATTTTATATATATATAAAATAAATCCTAAATCTGATCAAAATTTGAGGGATACAGGAACATGTTAAATAGTACTACAGGAATGTAATCAGTCAAATCTAAAATGTAGGAAATCCTACAAGACACAGATGACCTGGTTTCAAACGAAACAGCATCCTATTTATAATTGTGATGTCAACTTTCTAAAATAAATTCATAACTTTAATGCAAATTCTACCCCTCTCAAAGAATTCCTGTAAAATAGTTTTAGGAATTTAAGTGATTCTATTTTTTTTGTTGTTGTTGTTGGTTAGCGATGCATAACAATAAGTGATTCTAAAGCTTATTTGGAAAAGGAAACATGAATTGATGAAACAAACAAAATTAGCCAGGCACAGTGGCTCACGGCTATACTCCTAGCACTTTGGGAGACCAAGGATGGCAAACTGCTTGAATCCAGGAGTTCGAAACCAGCCTAGGCAACACAGCAAAATCTTGTCTCCACAAAAAAATTTTTAAAGTAGGTCAGGCATGGTGGCTCACAGCTATAAATCCTAACACTTTGGGAGGCCAAGCAGGCGGATTGCCTGAGCTCAGGAGTTTGAGACCAGGGCAACATGTGCAAACATAGGCAACATGGCAAAACCCCATCTCTACTAAAAATACAACAAAGTAGCTGGTCATGGTGGCACGTGCCTTTAGTCCCAGCTACTCAGGAGGCCGAGGCATGAGAATTGCTTGAACCTGGGAGGCAGAGGTTGCAGTGAGCTGAGATCACACTACTACACTCCAGTCTGGGCAACAGAGCAAGACTCTATCTACAAAACAAAACAAAAGAAGTAGCTGGGGGCCAGGTGCAGTGGCTCACGCCTATTATCCCAGCACTTTGTAAGGCTGGGGTGGGCAGATCACCTGAGGTCAGGAGTTTGAGACCAGCCTGGCCAAAATGCCAAAATCCCATCTCTACTCAAAATGCAAAAATTAGCTGGGCATAGTAGCAAGCACCTGCAATTCCAGCTACTCGGGAGGCTGAGGCAGAAGAATCACTTGAACCAGGGAGGGAGGCAGAGGTTGCAGTGAGCCAAGATCACGCCACTGCACTCCAGCCTAGGCAAAGGAGCAAGATTCTATCTCAAAAAACAAAACAAAACAAAACAAAAGTAGCTGGGTGTGGTGGTGCACACCTGTAGTCCCAGCTACTCGAGAGGCTGAAGCAAAAGGAATGCTTGAGTCCAGGAGGTCAAGGTTGCAGTGAGCTATGACCAGCCTGGGCAACATGGCGAAACCCTGTCTCTGCACTCCAGCCTGGATGACAGAGCGAGACCACGTCTCCAAAAGAGTTAATACATAAACCTTAAAAATGAAATATAAACTAATTAGTATGATAGTGGTTCAAGAATGTATTAGAGATCATGGAAAATAGATCCTAGACCTACTCCAAACATTAGAACTGCCTGTTCCATATAAATTTGTTAGAATTCAGGAGAATGGGCAGATGTAGGTCGTAGGGAACAAAGTTTCAATTAGGATAAACTTCTGGAAATCTGTACAGCATGATGACTGTAGTTAACAATAACCTACTGTATACCTGAAAGTTGCTGTCCTTACCACACCAAAAAATAATAGCTATGTAATGATATGTTAATTAGTTTAATCATTGCAATCAATTCACAATGTAAATATATTAAAACATCACATTATACACTATAAATATAAAATGTTTATTTATCAGCTATACTTCAATAAGGAAAAATTTTGATAGAATTCAACTATAAAGCTATATAAGCCTGGCCAGGCACAGTGGCTCGTGCCTGTAATCCCAACACTTTGGGAGGCCAAGGCAGGGTGTTCACTTCAGATTGGGCGTTTAAGACCAGCCTGGCCAACACAGCAAAACACTGTCTCTACCAAAAAGTACAAAAATTAGCTGGGCATGGTGGTACATGCCTGTAGTCCCAGCTAATCAGGAGGCTGAGGTGGGAGAGTCACTTGAACCCGAGAGGCAGAGGCTACAGTGAGCTGAGGTACTCCAGCCTGTGTGACAGAGTGAAACACTGTCTCAAAACAAAACAAAACAAAACAAAAACCTATATAAGCCTGATGTTTTCTTGTGCAAGCCTTTTAACTAATGCTCTGGGGTTTGTTTAATGCTTTTATTTTAAAGTTTTTTACAAGACTATTTTGGCTTTCCATTGCTTCTTGAATTTATTTTGATGAGCTCCATTTTTCTAGAAATTTGTCCATTAATGCACCAGCATGAAACTTACATATTTGTCTACTGTCTTTTTTTACTGAGAGAGTGGTAAAAGCAATCATCAGGCATTTCATACACATGTGAGGCACCATTCTTGCCTCATGCACTGTTTTTTTCCATGGTCCCTGCTGTCCACACAGTCACCTTTTGTACCACATCACCTACTTCCAGTCCCAGGTGATGAGGACAGGTGGAGGTAGGGGGGGAAGGGAGGCTCCTGGTGTATGTTCCGCCAACCCATCAGCTGCTCACAAAACACTGAAGGAGTCTAACATGAAAATGTAAGACTGGGCCCAGGATACACCCCAAAAAAGGGCACACCAAAAAAAGATTCAATAGATTTGACAAAATAAAAATATTAAACTTCCATGTATCAAAAAGTACTATAAAATTAAAAGGCAGGCTGGGCGTGAGGGTCACTCCTATAATCTCAGCTCTTTGGGAGGCTGAGGAGGGCGGATCACCTGAGGTCAGGAGTTCAAGACCAGCCAGACCAACGTGGAGAAACCCCATCTCTACTAAAAATACAAAATTAGCCAGGCATGGTGGTACATGCCTGTAATCCCAGCTACTTGGGAGGCTGAGGTAGGAGAATTGCTTGAACCCAGGAGGCAGAGATTGAGGCGAGCCAAGATCGCGCCATTGCAATCCAGCTGGGCAACAAGAGCGAAACTACATCTCAAAAAAAAAAAAAAAAAAAAAAAAAATTAAAAGGCAAATAGCAGTGGCACCACCCCTTCTCTCGGAGAGAGGAAGGACTGGACCCAGCCTCACGGCTGCGGCCACCCTCCTCGCCCTTCCTGCCAATAACCTGCTCCAGCTACTGCTTGGATCTACTTTGGGCAACACGGTTGGCTGGAATGCATCTGGCTCACAACCATGACGTACTAGACTTGGTTTCAGTGCTCAAAGAAATGAAACAATATCATGCACGTCAGGAGGAAACCTACTGATTCCAAAGATCACCTCCAGGACTGCCTTCTCGTACACATTCTGCTGCCTTGAGGGCAGCCTCTGCCACCTGCACCAAAGGCTCCGGCTCCTCCCTCTAGCCTTGTGGCTTTCTTCCCTTCTAGACTCTGAAATGCCTTAGAGTTAAAATCAGGCCACATGTATGAACTGTCCTCTGTTTTCTCAACATCTTCCCTTCTTCCCACTCCTCTTCTGGCAAAGTGGAGGTGTCTATGATAGCATCATTGTGCTAGATTAGAAAACCTTGAGTTTAATTGGTGGTCTTCATTGATGTTCCAAATCGCTCTTGGGATTTGTACTATTTTGTTTTTAAAACTTCTGTATGGCTAAACCAAAACATACTATTTTGCCACGATAGCAATTGTAGTGGGTACCTTTAACACATTTGAAACGGAATCATGTTGCTTCAAAGCAATTAAAACTAATATCTAAAGCCAAAAGAAAATGGGGAAAGTACTTGTAACAGATGTGACCTGAGGGTGACTCTTTGGTGACTCACCTCTGGTAAAAGACAGGGGTCATTCTGCAAAAGCAGGATCCGAAGCTGGGCTTCATTGAGGCCAAAAAGTCCATGGTTTTTCAGGACCTGCATGTTGACAGGTGTGTGGATATCATGGGAAAGGGTACAGGTAGACCTAGGAGAACAGAGACCTCGGTCAGATGCCCAGGTGAAGAAGGACCAGTCTGTCAAATTCCTTGCCTTGAGCAGCTTTCAATTTATTTAATACATGTGAAGCTGAGTAATTGTCATGAAACCATGGAGAGTATCTAATAAGCACTGATGGAAAGAAAATAAGGAAGTTGGGTTGAAGCAACTCTTCTCCCAAGGTCATGTGAATTTTTAGTCGGGATGCTCTGAAGCCGAGGGCACCCCTCTCCCGTGTAGCCCACCTCGCCCGAGGGTGCGCATCTGCTCCGTAGGCCACTGCACTTGACCTTCTCCCCGGCGACAGCTGCCCACCCCCACAGTCCACCAACGTGAAAAAGAAAGCGTCCCTATCCCCAGCACCACTTTGGGGTTGAGGGGGAGGGGAACAACCAAGGAAAATTCAGGGATGTGAAGCAGAGTCTGGAGTCAGGAGGCGGCCAGGAACCCCAGCTCTGGCAGTCAAGAACCACACGGCCTCACCCAAGCCATCCAGCCCTGCTTCTTGGGTGAGGCTGGCTCCGCGCTGTTAAACCTAGAGGGCGCAGACCCGCTTCTGCAAAAGTGTGTGAATACGGGGGAACGGGCGATTTCCGGTTAAAGAGTCCAGGGATCTCATGGGATCCTCGGATGCCCCCGTCCCCCACCTCCCGCCAAAGATCACCGGAGTAAGCGAACTCCAAAATCAGTCAGGATTGAACCCGGCTGCGCCGTGCAGAATCCGGGGGGCGGGGCCGCAACTTTTCTGGCGGGGGCGGCTGAGAGGTCTCCACTGAGCGGACCTTCGCGCCTTTCCGCCCCGCGGCTGGGAGCGCAGGGGAGGCCGCCCGGGGAAGGGCCTGCGGGAGGGGGTGATCCAGTCACGGCCCCGCTCGGGACGAAGCCCCCTTCCAGTCGCTGCCGCTTCCGGCCGGATGGCCAGGCCCGCGGCCTGCGCCCACAGTCCCCGCCCGCCCACCCGGGCCGCCGCTGCCGCCCTCTCACCAGCAGTCCCGGTTGGGGCACTTGCCCAGCATGTGGCGGCGGCAGAAGTGCAGCTGGTCGCAGGCCTGGCACTCGCCGCGCTGGTAGCGCGCGCAGAGGCGCACGGAGGACACAGCCACAACCCTCCAGGCGGAGGCGCCGCCGCCGCCGCCGCCGCCCACCGCGCCGGCCGCCGCCTCGGCCTCCGGGTCCCCGAGGCCCTCCTGCGTCTCCACCTCCTGCAGCAGGAAGCGCTCGGGCCCGGCGCGCTGCAGCACGTCCTGGAGCCTGGCCTCCGACAGCTCCACGTGGCCGCGCAGGTCCCGCAGGAACATGCGGCCGCCGTGGGCGCACAGCACCTTGGTGAGGAAGGAGCACACGGTGGGCTCCGCCATAGTCGCTGGCGCGGGCCCTGTACGCGCCGCGCGGAGAGCCGGGGCGGGCAGGCTCCTCCCAGTCACGTCCACGATTTCCAGCGAACATCCCGGGGGTGGGCCTGGGCCTGGCGAGGGGTGGGCCTGCGGGAGGCCGGGCGAGGGGCGGCCCCGGCGCGTGGAAGTAGTGTACGGCGCCTGCGGATCCCCTGCCCGGGACAGCGTTGATAGAGCGTCTGCTCTGCCCGGGCCTGGCCTTGAGGGGCTTGTACAGTGGGAGTCACAAAGGACTCGCTACCAAGTAAGACAACTAGTAGTGTTAGGGAGACCTGCGGTGAAGGCAGAATGGGTAAAAGGCGGTAGGAGGTGAATGGCTGGGCTGCTTCAGGGAAGGTGGCCTCTACCCACATGTGGCTGCTGAGCACTTCTGGGATTTTTGTTGTTGTTGTTGTTGGATTTTATTTTATGTTATTTTTTGTTTTGTTTTCGGAGATAAGGTCTCGCTCTGTCGCCCAGCTGGAATGCAGTGGCGCGATCGTAGTTCGCTGTAGCGTGTAACTAGGCTCAAGCCATCCTCCCACCTCAGCCTCCTGAGTAGCTGCGGCCGAAGGTTCGCACCATGATTTTTGTTTGTTTGTTTGTTTTGTTTTGCAGAAACGGGGTCTCCCCATGTTGCCCAGGCTGGTCTTGAACTTCTCAAGCAATCCACCTGCCTCCGCCTCCCGGAGCACTGGAATTACAGGTGTGAGCCACCCCACGGGGCCTTGCTGAGCTCTTTTGGAAGGTGGCTAGAATTGAGATGTGATATAAGTGTTCACATGATCACAAACTTCCTTTTCTCCTGTTTGTTCCCCTAGAAACCCCTTTGTTCTTCCTATAGGAGCCTTTTGCCCCCCTCTCTCCTCTATTAATTTAGGCATATAAATCATCATCACTTCTTTTGTGCACTGCCATTTACATATATATTTTTTCTCTTGTCAGTTAAATTTGCAGCCCCTCAGAACTGAACTTAAGAAGGTGCAGGGCCTTTCGGCCGGAACCACCATCTTCCAGTAATTCGCCAAAATGACAAACACAAAGGGAAAGAAGAGAGGCACTCGATATATGTTCTCTAGACCTTTTAGAAAACATGGAGTTGTTCCTTTGTCCACGTATATGAGAATCTGTATGAAAGGTGATATTGTAGACATCAAGGGAACGGGTACTGTTCAAAAAGGAATGCCTCACAGGTGTTATCATGGCAAAACTGGAAGAGTCTGCAGTATTCCCCAGCATGCTGTTGGCATTGTTGTAAACAAACAAGTTAAGGACAAGATTCTTGCCAAGAGAATTAATGTGCATATTGAGCACATCAAGCACTCTAAGAGCCGAGATAGCTTCCTAAAACGTGTGAAGGAAAATGATCAGAAAAAGAAAGAAGCCAAAGAGAAAGGTACCTGGGTTCAACTGAAGCACCAGCCTGCTCCACCCAGAGAAGTGCACTGTGTGAGAACCAATGGGAAGGAGCCTGAGCTGCTGGAACCTATTCCATATGAATTCATGGCATAATAGGTGTTAAAAAAAATAAAAGACCTCTGGACTGTTAAAAAAAAAAAAGAGGGTGCAGGAAAGTTGTTCCTCCCCAGTAATGGTTCAAACAACCCAACTCATTATTCCCCATGTGGAACCACTTGGAGGTGTACATTCCATGGTCTCCCGGGGTTTCCTCAGTGGAAGTGAGCCCCAGTTGTCCACAGCCACACCTCCTCATCAGCACTCCCCATACAGTCTTCCTTCCTCTCCCTGTCCCACGTCCCCATTCCCCTGCCAGCGTTTCTTAGGATCACCTCCCAAGCAAAGTGCTTGCATTCAATCCTTGTCTGATTGCTCCTGAGGGAACATAGCCTAACACATAAACTGATAAGGAGAGGCCAGAGGAAAATAAGAGTCATTCATGGACACACAGAGGAGAGTTTCAAGGAGGAGATGATCAGTGTGGAACTAGAGCATCTGAAGATAAGTTTGTAAGCTTTGTTTTGTTTTGTCTTTTTAAGTTTAAGGCAAGACCAAGAATGGGTGGTGGAGAGTCACTTGAGACCATAAAGGCTTAATGAAACTGACTTGAAGCGGGGAAAAGACTGACAGGTAGGACCAGTGGGGAGGGCCTCGCCAAGGCCACAGATTAGTAGTGGCATTGATCCAAACGACGCTGCAATTCTCCTAAAAGCTCTCTGGGCCGGGTGCAGTGGCTCACACCTGTAATCTCAGCACTTTGGTAGGCCAAGGCGAGTGGATCATGAGGTCAGGAGATCAAGACCATCCTGGCTAACACAGTGAAACCCCATCTCTACTAAAAATGCAAAAATCTGCTGGATGTGGTGGCACGCACCTGTCCCAGCTACTCGGGAGGCTGAGGCAGGAGAATTGCTTGAACCCCAGAGGCCGAGGTTGCACTGAGCTGAGATCACGCCGTGCACTCCAGCCTGGTGACGGAACAAGACTGTCTCACAACAACAACAAAAAAAAACCTTTCAAGGTATAAGAACAGAATTTAATTGATCCACTCTAGGTTTTGCCAGTGGATGAGACTTAAAGGTCCAAGGTTCTGGGTGATTGAAAGTATGAATTGAAAGAGTGGTCAGGGGACCAGGTGCAGTGGCTCACACCTGTAATCCCACCACTTTGGGAGGCCGAGGCAGGTGGATCACCTGAGATCAGGGGTTCAAGACCAGCCTTGGCAACATGGTAAAACCCTGTCTCTACCCAAAATTACAAAAATTAGCCAGGCATGGTGGCACATGCCTATAATCCCAGCAACTCAGAAGGCCGAGATGGGAGAATCACTTGAACCTGGGAGGCAGAAGCTGCAGTGAGCTGACATTGTGCCACTGCACTCCAGCCTGGGAGACAGAGTGAGACCCTGTCTCAAAAAAAAGAGAGAAGGAAGGAAGAGAGGGAGGGAGGAGGGAAGAGAAGAAAGGATGGAGGCAGCAAAGGAAGGAAGGAAGAGAAAGGGAGGGAGGAAGGAAGAAAGGAAAGAAAAGAGGAGTCAGGGGCTGAACAATCGGCTGGAGGCTGGGTAAGGGAGGAGTGAAGACAGCAAGGGGCTGTATGTGAAAAGAGAAAGACGATGTACAGAATGTAGTAGAGAAAGAGGGCTAAAAACCAGGCTGGGGTCAGAGGTAGAATATAGAGGTTTGGGATTTCAGAAAGATCAGTTCTAGGCCAGACGCAGTGGCTCATGCCTGTAATCCCAGCACTTTGGGAGGCCGAGACAGGAGGCTGAACTTCAGCTGAGGTCAGGAGTTCAAGACCAGCCTGGCCAACGTGTCAAAACCCCATCTCTACTAAAAATTAGCTGGGTATGGTGTCAGGTGCCTGTAATTCCAGCTACTCAGGAGGCTGAGACAGGAGAATCGCTTGAACCCAGAGGTTGCAGTGAGCTGAGATCAAGCCATTGCACTCCAGCCTGGGTGACAGAGTAAGACTCCATAAAAAAAAAAAAAAAAAAAGATCAGCAGTTCTACAGTAATTCTGACTGATGACAATGGGGTGATGGATGTTGACTCTCTGAATAGGGAAGACAGGCGTTAATGACATCTAAGGCTAGGGGTGTTGCATGGGTTGACCACAGTGAACACTGAAGGAAAAGGGGGGATTTTAAGTGGAGAGGAAGACTCTGAGCCAGAGTGTGGAGAAAACTCCAGGAGTAAATGCAGGAGTTAATGGGGGAAGGGTGGGGAGGTGAGAGGGAAGAGGTAGAGACTGTCTCTGCAGAACTTCCGGGTTTAGAATCTTGGTTCTGTTACTCAGTAGCTGTGACACCATGCACAGGTTATCTGACTCCTCAGCGGATATATAGATCTGCTCAGGTATAGATCTATATATCTATAGATAGATACATAGAGATATATCTATAGATAGATACATATAGATATATCTCAGCAGAGGCATAGATCCTGGAGTCAGAGCGTGTGACAGACACCTGAAGTCTGGGAATAATTAAAACCATTCATGGGGAAGTGCATAGAGGGGTAAAAAGGAAAGATCCCAGAGCAGACTGTTTATTGACGAATATGGCGTTTTCAGGGAGAAGAGGGTGACATCAGATGCCAGGCAGATTCACAGGGGAATGGAAAAGAGAAACAGGAGGTTGATTGAAGGTAGTATTTTCAGATTGGAGCTTTTAAGGCTTAAGCACATCCTGGAAACTTTTTTTTTTTTTAAGACGGGGTTTCACCATGTTGGTCAGGCTGATCTTGAACTCCCAACCAAGGCCCGCCTTGGCCTCCAAAGTGCTTAGATTACAGGCATGAGCCACCACGCCCGGCCCCATCCTGGAAACTTCTGATGTCTCCTCCCACTCTGATTCTGAAGCTCATTTTCAAGCTGATGGTCACTCAGGCACACATCTGTAGCACGAGATCAAATAAAGGCAGTAGAACCAATTCACTCCAGGGACATGCATTGATATCACTGTTATAAATCATCCACTCTGGTCTTAACATTCCAAATGAAACCTGCCTGATATCCCCTGCACTCTTTCCAAGACACATCCTGGAACATGGCCCCCGTGGCCCAGCCACACACACTTAGCACTCAACCAAGTATTGCCTTTTATGGCACTTCTCTTTACAATGGAAAGTGGTTGCTATTTAGCTTTTTTCCTTTTTTTTTTTGAGACACAGTCTCGCTTTGTCATCCAGGCTGGAGTGCAGTGGCACTTTCTTGACTCATTGCAACCTCCACCTCCCGGGTTTAAGTGATTCACCTGCCTCAACCTCCTGAGTAGCTGGGATTACAGGTGCCCTCCTGGGTGCAAGTGATTCTCCTGCCTCAACCTCCTGAGTAGCTGGGATTATAGGTGCCAGCCACCATGCCCGGCTTATTTTTGTATTTTTAGTAGAGACAGGGTTTCACCATTTTGGCCAGGCTGGTCTCAAACTCCTGACCTCAGGTGATCGGCCCACCTCAGCCTCCCAAAGTGCTGGGATTACCGGCGTGAGGCACCGTGCTGGGCCATAACTTCATTTCTACTAAAGACTGGACTGAGGAGTCCACCAGAAACTAGATAATGGAAGGTTTTCTTGGGAGCACTC